TATACTGACCATATCGAGTGGATTGTTCATATCACAATTAGACGATTGAGTACTCCGCATGCGACGTCGTGCTCAAACTTCGTCTTTGTGTGATATTGCTATCATATCCACCCTTGTTGAACAAACTATAATTTATTTGTTTTCTTGGTTTAAACCAAAACTTAAGTTTTACATCAGAAATAGGAACTAAATTAATTTACTTTTCAAGTTTTCTTATAAAAATCGATATTACTTTCTCCAAGTACAAATTTAGTACCTACCTAAAATAAGTACTAATTATGTAATATCGTGTAATATTGTAATTCAAATTTCACATTACTATAAAGTTCCAAAATTCCCTACTTCGGTATGGTCAGATAAAAATTGAATATATTATATTAATAAAAACTGTCAAAGTATTACTTCTACAAATCTGTATTTCAATTAATAAGAATACATCTAAATATAACCAATATTGTTAAAATAAAATCACAAATTCTTTATAATTCCAAAATACCATAGTTCCCAGACCTCAGTCGAAGCATTCGTTTATCTAGGTATAAACCCTTTGCGCGAAGAGTAACACTTGCCAGAGACACGGGGTACCACTTGATTTGCATCCACGAGCATGACACAATTCTTTAACAATTGAAGCCCTTGGTGTAAAAAGGATCCAAGCCACAATTTGTCGTGAAGTGACTGTTTTAGCTCAAAACATTTGTTAACGAGGATTCTACTAGCCACATACAAATTATTTTACCTCTAATCCGAAAGATGTACTATTTTTAGTAATATTTATATTTAAATAATGTTTCTAATTATATTTGACAGATTTAAAACAAATTAAAAATTTAATTTCCCAAAACTTACTTAATATGGCATGTAACCAACCTTATTACGCCAAGGTTTTCAATTTTTTCAATAATAAAAAAATTGTTTAATCCGGGCCCGACTTTTCCCTCGAATCTAACAGAGATAGCACCATTCCGTCTTGCTTGGTTCTCGACCGCCAGATCAAAGACGCCGACACGGAGTTGTGGAGCTGTATTGTATAAGCTGTGCTATTGCTTGCTATGATATTTTTATTGTTTTCTATTTCTGCCTACTAGCCCAAACTTTCCAAACGCTGGACATTATTAATTATGCCGTTCTTGCAGTGTATTATTAAACTTAGCGCAATGTCACTGCGCAAATGCATATTTTTTCCAATCAAAGCATTTCAGATAGTTCTCGAGTAAGGGGTATATTCTGTAACAATTCCTTTATATTTAACGGCCTTTAAAAATATTTTCTTCTTTACTTCTGTCATTATTAAAACGGATCTTTAAAATACATTAGAGGACTATCTTAAAGAAATCTGTTTAAATAATGACAGAATTAAATTAACGAATACAAATATACTTTTAAAGGCCGCCAATATTTTTAAAGGCCGTTAAATATAAAGGAATTCTTACAGAATAGACCCCTAAGTCCGCTATCCGATTCTAGAGAAGAACCGTCGGTTGCGACGCAGTGTTGTCGCTGTTGGTGTTTATTACGAGAATTTAAGAAATTTACGGAAGCTTCTATGCTTTTTCCACTTTGAATTTTTAAAATTTAAAAATATGTTTTGAGCTACCAGTATTGCTTTTGCGAGCTACCAGTAGCTCGCGATCGACAGGTTGGTGACCACTGTCTTAGACTATAATAAAACAAGAAACTTTTTAAAACAACACTAAGTATAGTATTTTTAATACAAATCCCGATGTACGTCAGAGATCATTTATGACGTCACGGCCTTGCAGTGTTGCCTAATCGTCAGAATAGTTGAGGAATTTAGAATTTTTTAAAATTGTAAGGTTATGTATTTGTTATGTTACTATATAGTAGGAACAATTAGTTTTAAATGTATATAACTAACGGAAAATATTGAATTCCTTTATGAATAATAAACATCTGAACAAAAAAGCTTTAAACATATTATGCAAGTCATGGAAAATAAAACTGTAAGGTAGTATATTGCAGATGGATCAAAATTGGTTTAGAATTAGCACAGAAAATATCTAAAACTAATTTAATTTCACCAAGAAAGTTATTTAACAGAACTACATTTAAGTTATAAACCACAACATCCCATAAAATTAAAGAGGTCATTGAAAAAATGAAAACTACAAAGGCATGTGGAGGATTCATAATATCAGTAGATACCTATACTTAAAGAATTAAAGTTTGAAAATGCTAAAATATTTGAATACAAGAAGGAAATTGTTAAAATATTTGAGTAGGTGCTTTAGTAAATCTCACTTTCAGTAACGGTTCTGTAGCTCAAGTATTCAAGATAGCCAGAAATGCTTAAAAAAAAAAACAGATATCGCTACTTCTTTTCAACTCTAAAGTTATCAAAACATGTATGAACAATAGATTCATCACTCAAACATCAAGATTCTCCATTCTATCAGCTTCAAAAGACATTTGAAAAATGTTATTCTCAGTCAAATATTTTTTTGATATCTTGCAATAAATTAAATAAAAATACAGATATATAAGAAATATATCAAACTGTTTATTGTTTTAAAAATTAGACAATGTTTTTTTTTTTAATTACACTATTTTCTCATAAAAAAACAATTATTCATCTACTAATCTTCATTATTCTTATAAAATTCTTTTATTTCTCCTAATCCAGATCGCAAGTATTTGAATCGCAGTCATCGATATCGCTATTAGGGTTAATTATAATAAAAATAATTTCCAACCTATTAAAAAATCCCTCTCTGCCAATATGTTTATTATAATATTGCTTAGAAAGGTCACAAATAAGTTCAATGGAGTTAAAAATAAAATAGCAGGGAAGATTACGTAATACTTTGTAATATTGTTCTGCTTAGGTAATTATCTACCATATATTTCTTTGGCGGTTTGCACCTGAAAAAAGAATGTTTTATTTATTTCTATTTAGTTGCCATTTCGTATAACGTGTGTCAATATCACTATATTCTAAACTGTAATATCGAAACAACACATTATATCAATGATTTAATGTTAGGTACACCGTTATATCAAATCTTGTAACTTCATTTTTAATTTTTTGATATTGTTTTAAAGTTTATTTCTGAAAAAAAAGGCATTTTTGGGTTTCACTGTACATCTTGAAAATGTGTAAAACATGTAGATGTTTATTGACCACTGTAATCAAATTTTTCCAATTAAATTGTCTTTATATGATTGCTAGAATAGCGTATCTACCATTAAATCTTCAATATGATGTGTCATTTCAATATTAATATTTTTTTTACTTGATTTACACAATTACTGATACCTTAATTTGCTTCAAATTTGGTTTTATCTCTTGCCATCGATTTTTGTAGGTCTAACACCCTTTGTTATTATTTTCCCAGGAGCTGTTTAATGTTTCATTTTGAACGATACATGTTTCATCAATGACAACGAACTGCTTCTGTTGTAATTCTATAATTTCTTAAAAACTGACCTATTTACAGTTCACGTCTTGGTTATCTTTTTTCCTTCATTCTTTTAATACAGTTGACAATGATGCAATATAGCCATTAAACATTTGTCTCTCAATCAACTTTTCTCTTAAAGGTTCCAAAGTTATATGTTGACCTGCAAATAAGTATGTATTTATATTACTGTATACAAATTAAAACTTTTATAGGTAATATAAATAAATTATGATTGAATAAATAGATTTGTCTTTATACTTACTTGTTTCATACATATTATAAATACCACTTCCGATTCCACTTGTATCCAGTGTTATTGTATTAGTAGGTAATCCTTTGTTTATATGAATGCTTTTTAATTAACGATTTTAATCATTCATTATTCTTGACTGCTTGCCAAATACTACTGACAGTAGAAATATTTTTATTTAGAGATGCTGCAACACACTAAAAAAGACAAGAAAATAATTTCATATTTCTATTAAATTTTATAACTTGTAACTTACCTCTCTTACAGCAGTTAAAGGTAAACGTGGTCCATCAGTATCACGCTCTTAGTCAAAATAATGGATTAAAGAAGCTATCAACTCTTATACACTCTATGGTTGTTTTGAAAAACAGTTTTTTATAATTATAACTGGCAAAGCTTAAAAATACAGGCAAAAGGATTTTAAATTACAGAAAACAAAATGCACAATCAATAATTAACTCAACATAAACATAACCTAACTAAATCAGTGAAATTTTTTTAAAAAGGGGTTGCAACACCGCAACAAGGTGTACCAATTGCTGTAATGACATTTCTTCTCTATAAATACGAGCTTCATGGGCGTACAGAATGTCAAAATTATTTAATGTAAAGTATTATTTTTTGAGTACTAAACATTTAATAATGTTTTTATAAAGTTTATATTATCAAGAATTAGACATGTATAAACTAAATAATTTAAATAATTCTTAAAATTATCAAAATAATCACCATAACAGTTTTCGACTTTTTAGTAATATGACTACGTTCATGAATGCTCGTGACTATACGTGACTTTTTCGGATTATTAGCTTAGTTAGGGACATTTTAATTAGTTGGTAGTACTATGACGAATGACCGACGTCATTGCTGACGTGCATCGGGATTAGTATTAAAAATACTATATAAAACTAATATTAAAATCACATGCTAAACCAAGCTTTTGTTCTAAATCCGTCAAAAGTACAATGTTTCCGTAATTTAAGATAATAATGAACAAAAACTACTTCGACAAATAAATATGTAGGCGAACAAAAGTTTGTGTGCCATCAGGCAACTACATTATATTTTCTGGCAGGTATGTCGAAATACCCTTTATAGTAAAAAGAAGTAACAGAATCCCGTTTTCGGTTAATTAACAAAACAACAGTATTCGTGCAATACATAAACCAGCTTAATAGACCCAAATCAGTTTATATCTCTTTGTTCTGAATAAACCGAAAATCATTCATATTTTATCTCTAAATCGGGCAAATATCTGTATAAAATGAACATTTATTTGCACTACGTGCGAAATGCTCTTTGTAAACGTTGCTAGGGGATATTTTTAGGGTTATGATTCTCCTGATAATCTTAATTCGCTTGCAACCAGCAACGGACTAGTCGTTAGTGACTCATCAAGTACCTACAATTCCAATTATTTTGAAATGGTGGCTAACAATTTAAAACTAGGTGGAGAATTTTAGACCAGGGGTATTATAAAAATTGTCAGAATTAATTTAACATTATCTATACAAAAAGAGGTGGTTTAAAAAAGTTAAAAACTAAAGATAATTCATTAAAATATAGACAATAATCATCAAGGATAGAGTAAAAATACTAAATTACAATACAGGGTGTTTCATTTGTAAAGGGACTCCCTGTAACCATGGATGGAGACCACCGAGGTGCTTCCAAATAACCCATACTTAATGGGTCTTTCGACCTTTATAGCCGAGATACAGGGTGTTTTATCAATTTGGCCTATTTCTTTCCAGACTCATAACTTATTAACCACCCTGTATATGTTTTTGACATTCGACGTACTTATTCACCTTAACTTACCAAATCTAAAAAGGTATAAACAAGAAACGAAATCCAGGTCCGTCTTTACAAAAAATTAATAAATTCGTCCATCCCTAAAACAACATCCTGTATGTCTGAATTTAAAATTTTTGTTTTCATATTTAAAAAGAGCACAAAAAACTGAATCCAATAATGTACATCTTATTTTTGCGCAGACGATTTTACTACTGAAATTATAAGTCCAAATTGTTATTTTTGAGCATTTTGGAGGTACAAACTGGAAACGGACGGAGTTTTATCAATTTATAAAATTTTATTACGGTATATTTAAAATTATTTAAAGAAGTATATTTCTAAAAGCTACAGATGGTTAGGTTGAAAATGAGTGGGATGATCTCATTGTCCTCCACTGCGACCCAGATGGGTCTATTGTGGCTCAATTTTTGAATGAAAATTTTCCTAATACGTGGATAGGCAGAGGTGCTCCCAATCACTGGCTTTCAAGATCGCCTGACTTTAATCCGCTGGATTACCACGGTTGGGGACATCTAAAAACAAAAGTATATTCCACTCCCATAAATAATAGGGAAGAACTAGTTGGAAGGATAGAAAACGCGTGCGAAGAAATGAAAAATAATCCCGATGTACTCAGAAAAGCCGTCAACCATATTTTAAAACGACCAAGAAAATGCATCGAACAAAATGGCGGTCATTTTGAACAACTCTTGTAGTTTTTAGTAGCAATAAGGTTTATTACTTTATTTCCAACATTTATATTTCTTTGTATTATTAGTTGTTATTTTGATTTGTTTATTATGTATTAATTAGTTATTATTTATGTGTTTTTACTTTAGTTGTAAATGTTATTATTTGTTCTACTGAATGTTAGTCTCTTTTCATATTATTATCCTACATACTATTTATTAAAACTTACATGGAATAATTTATACAGGGTGCGGTCGAAAAAAAAATAATTCTGATTTTTGGCCCTAAAACCGGACCTGAAATTATTTTTTGAAATAGTGTAGATGCATACAATTATAAATATTGACATATCTGTAGCTTTTAGAAATATACTTCTTTAAATAATTTTAAATATACCGTAATAAAATTAATAAAACTCCGTCCGTTTCCAGTTTGTACCTCCAAAATGCTCAAAAATAACAATTTGGACTTATAATTTCAGTAGTAAAATCGTCTGCGCAAAAATAAAATGTACATTATTGGATTCAGTTTTTTGTGCTCTTTTCAAATATGAAAACAAAAATTTTAAATTCAGACATACAGGGTGTTGTTTTAGGGATGGACGAATTTATTAATTTTTTGTAAAGACGGACCTGGATTTCTTGTTTATACCTTTTTTAGATTTGGTAAGTTACGGTGAATAAGTACGCCAAATGTCAAAAACATTACAGGGTGGTTAATAAGTTATGAGTCTGGAAAAAAATAGGCCAAATTGATAAAACACCCTGTATCTCGGCTATAAAGGTCGAAAGACCCATTAAGTATGGGTTTTTTGGAAGCACCTCGATGGTCTCCATCTATGGTTAAAGGGAGTCCCTTTACCAATGAAACACCCTGTATAACCATTTAAAATAATTGTAAGGAACATACCTTAGAAATAATGAAACAATGAGGGGTAATATTTTAATTATCACCAAATATCGTTCCTGTAACGCGAGGTTTATGGAATGACCTGTCAAAAAACTTAACTGCGGCTGTCGTCAATAGACGACGAAACGAAAATTTCGTGAGGAGCGGGTATCGTCAATGAGCGATTTAAAGAATTATATGCTGGAAACGGTGTCGCTCATTGACAATTCTATTTATTTTTTCAAGATTTGCTATCGTCTTCAATAGACAATAGATTGGGACTTTCGTTGTTTATTTATTTGAGAATACATTGATGAAAAAGCATGTGTTGTGTTTATGAAATACAATAAACACCCGTTTGTTTACCTCATTTGTTGTTAATATTTTCCTTTCAGATTTTTTAGGGTCTATATTGCGTATGTAATCATAAAATTTTAATTTAGTAGAATCATTTAGTAAATGTAATTGTACTTTTATTGTTTTATTATATAAATTATTTTTTGCTAGTCGCATTATTACAAAAAATGGATTTACAATCAACATCTCTTATATGAAATAATGCCCTTTTGGTATTGATACTGCGCATGATTTTTCAACTCAACATTATTCTATACCATGTCCCCTATAGTCTAATCAACAAGTTCAAAAGCGTGTTTTTGGGACATACTATTACGAAAATTATGTTCAATAGCTCATTCGATTCGAAATAATGCCTTGTAAGGGGTTTTCTCGCCTCAGAGAAAACGATTACTTACAAATGACGCCTGTTGACGGGACGGCTCTCGGGCGCCAGATTTTATGTGTGGTTTACTCCACAAACTTTCGAAGCGGCGTCGAAAGTACTCGAGCAGCACAGATGGAGATGAAAAATTCCAGGGGTCGTTGGTCACTCAGACACAGGTAATAAGTAACCACAAGTAACGGGCGTTAATCGTGACTTGTGGTGATAAAGAATTTCTCACTGCTGAAATAAAGGGGGAAGTAAATTAGGGATCAGTAACCTCAGTAATAGTCAAGGTAACGTTAACACATATATTGAATTTTAACTATTATAATAAATAATTGCGGTCGTAGCAAAAGTTAGCTAGTTAACTGTTAAATCGGCAAAAAGATTGAAGTTAAATATTTTGTTTCGTAAAAGCAGAAATAAAATCACGGTCGTAGAAAAAGTTATCTGGTTAACTATCTAGTCGGTATTGAAACTGAAACAAACCTCCTTTTGTTAGTGAATAGGGAATAGATAAATGTGGTAAGAAAACGGGATAGTATCAATCCTATGAGGAGTGTACTTGCCAAAACCAGCCCGCTCAACATAAAAATGATACTATAATTTTAATCACGGGGCGGAGGTAACTAAAAAAATAATCAAAAACCGGGTTAGTATTTATCCTATGATGAGTGTACTCGTCAAAACCAGTCCGCTCAAACATAAAACAAAATATTAAACCGGGTCAGTATTTATCCTATGATGAGTGTACTCGCCAAAACCAGCCCTCTCAAACATAAGAAAAACACTAATATGTTAATCACGGCTAGGGGTTAATCTAAAAAAATCTAAAACCGGGATAGTATCTAATCCCATGTAAGCTTTCTCGCCAAAACCAGTCCACTCAACATGAAAAATGATACTATTTCAACTTTCCAACTAATTCTATTCCCAAGTAAAGAAACATAAATGTAAAAAAAAGTTAAACCAGATTGTGAATAAATAGAAAAAAAAAGTATGGTCGTAGTAAAAGTTAAGTAATTAACTATATACGGAATTTAATTTAAATTTATCATTACTTAAAAATAGAAACAACATCCACGGTCGCAATGAAAATTAAGTAATTAACTGTATACGGAATTTAATTTGAAATTAGGTTTACTATTACTCTAAAATAGAAATACAATCCACGGTCGCAATAAAAATTAAGTAATTAATAAAATAGAAACAAAATTTCTACTTCCTAATAACCAAAACTAATTTCCAATGTTTCTAAATAAAATCAAAACTAAATAGTTTATCTGAAAATCAAAATATTTTTAACGAAAATCTAAAGTCAATTATTATTTCTATTAAATAAAATTGAAAACGGAATAATTTAATCAAATAAAACTGGTAATCGAACGTTTAGCTCAAGAACCGACGACAAAAAAGAAACGTAAACATGAATTCGGTGTACCTAACTACGGTCTCTGCAATAATATTACGGCGTATAACGAAGCAGACTTAACGAGGTCGGAAAAATGGAATCAAGCTAGTCGAGATCAGTAAAGTGAAATGAATGATTTTAAATACTCAATGCTGAATCCAAGTCTCTATGCCTAAGCAGGCTAGCTCCCCACTCGATGTGCGCGGATCGCGCGCGCTATCGTTACTCAGGTATAATACGCGAATTTAAATCAAACAAAATTTGATATACAGGGTCTACCCATGAAGTTAAAATAAAATAAAAATTAAAATTTATATCCGGAATAGGCCGAAATATAGTAATGAAAATTGACTTCATTACACATAATTGACATTCCTCTACAAAGTGACAGCAAAAAAATTTTTTTATTAATAATTCCATTGTTTATTAAGTTAACAATTTGTTATAAATAAATTCCCAACTTTGGTTTATTTTTTTCCTGGAAGAAATAAAAATTCCAGAAACGACTTTAACGACATTAAAATTACGGAAAAAAAATTTATTCAATTTTTTATTAAACTTAAAAAAAATCAATTTTGATAAACAAATATAAAAAACAACAAATTGACAATAGGTACGGAATTGACAAATGACTTATCTGAGAGATAATTTCATTGCCTACAAAAATGACTTGAATGTTTATTGTCGTATATCCAATAGTTTAAAAGTTATATCAACTTTTAAGTCAACAAATGGATCAGCTGCTGCAACTTTGATAGTATGTATATTTTCAAAGTTTAATAAAAAATGGAATAAAATTTTTTCCGTAATTTTAATGCACTAAGTCGTTTTTGGAATTTTTATTTCTTTCAGGAAAAAAATAAACCAAAGTTGGGAATTTGTTTATAACAAATTGTTAACTTAATAAACAATAGCATTATTAATAAAAAAAAAATTTTTTTGCTGTCACTTTG